CTTCTTCTTCTTCTTCTTCTTCTTCTTCTTCTTCTTCTTCTTCTTCTCCTTCTCCTTCTCCTTCTCCTTCTCCTTCCTTCCTTCCTTCCTTCCTTCCTCCTCTTCTCTTACCACTTCCAGTGTTGAGGGCGAAATTCTGGTTCTTATTTACCAAACTTATACCCAAACAAAATCTCTCTCCATGTGGTATCCAACCCACCTTTGTCTACCTTCAGTGCATTCTGCAAACTGAAGCTAAAGTTGGAGAAAACATTAAAATATTTAGAACAATTTTATCTTTAACTTGTGAATATTTATCTCTCTGCTGTTAACGTCTGTCAGTCTTCTTAAATGAGCACCTCTAGATCAGGGGTGTCAAACTCATGGCCCTCAGGCCGGATATGTCATGCTCTGGCCACATCTACCCCCGGTTTAGCGAAGGGGAAAAAATGTTGCGATACGTCATGTGACGTGTCATCATGAGTTTGACATCCGTGCTCTAGATGAAATTTATGAATTATTTTGAAATCAACAAAAAAAATGCCCTCAGCTTCAGAAGTGATGCTAAAATTTTGACTCCTTTACTTTTTAAGATGTTACACATTTGAGCTTTTTCCAAAACTGCCATGCAGATTTGTTGTGTGATCCTGTGTGATGCTCAGAAGTAAACCAAATGCATTTTTCTTAGCCAATATTTTATGCAAATTCTACTAAACATAATGACAAGTCCACAGTGCTAATTTACACAATCGCTATAGGAATATATCTACAGTTTTCTTTAAATCTATATAAATTTTACCCAAATGGATTTGCACAGAAATAGCCTTAGAAACTAACAGGTTAAAAAATGCTTTGGTAGGGCAACTTTTGAAATAGGATGCATAGTGCTCTACTACTTCTATTAGCATATTTACTGAAGCCATCACTGTCCACTGAAATGAGTTTTCCATGGAGTTTGAAGTATTATTTCCTCATAAGAGAGCCTTTTATTGGAACCTTACATGTTTATGTTTTACAAATTCATTTCGGCAATCCAACCAAACTTCCTAGCAAAACTTCAAACATGACATCACACAGTTCCACAATTTGCTGCAACTGGTTCAGCACAAAACATCGTGGGCTGTTCCCTGATACCACTAGATGACATCGCTAGGGCTCGCTGCCTTAAGAAGAGTGAGGAAAATTCTCAGGGACAACTCACATCCTGGTCAGCACTTCTTCACTCACCTACCTTCGGATAGGAGATATAGAAGAATAGACAGCCGCACCAACAGACTGAAAAATAGTTTCTATCTGTGGGCTGTCAGACTTCTGAATGGAAAATAACTTCATGTCAACATAGTTCAACAGACTTGTGGGCCAGGTGCGTTGTGCAACAAGGTCACGTAGGGTAATAAGATTGGACTTGGGTTAGGGACTTCTATCCTCACTGTGAGTTGTGTTGGGGGGGGCGTGCACGAAGGGGGGCTCAGCCAATCTCATTGTACACATGTTGTACTGACAATAAAGTAATTAAAAAAAAAAACTGGTTCGCGTTGTTGCCATGCAAAGAGCGCCTCCTAGTGTTAGGTATCAAAAACATTCTGTCCTCCACTTGAGAGGTATTTTAATTGGGGAGGAAAGGTGAAAGAATCAACGAGAAAAACGTAAGATTTTAAATCCAGGACATCGTATGGAGTTCCAAGAACATTTTGTGAACGAGGAACATATACCAAACACTTTGCTTCAATTTACTCTAAAATTTTGTTAAGAAGAGTGTGTTCTGTGCCGCACTCAGCAGTAACCCAAGGAGTATTTACTAATTTTAAAAACTGGTTTAGAATTAGGAATGGTAGGTTTGAGCAATCAACAAAATTATCTATTACCGAGTAATGTCGAATGCTTTTTAAAAAATAGAATTATAATTATACTAAAATAATATTTGACAGCTGCTTGATGTTGACCTGCGTGACGACTTGGGTTTTATTTACCTCCAAGCACCATGCACCTATTTACTAGTTCCCATATTCATATGCTAGCTGGAAAGGTGAAGATGAACGCGTGAGAAATGCAATTCAGTTGCGTGCACCTGTTTTTACGGCGATCTTTTATAAGGCAAGTTTTAAAAAAACCAATCAGGTGCATTTGGTAAAACACTAAAGTAACAGAAATGTACCTTGTCCTTAATAATTTATACATTACACAAATAGCCAATATCTTTATACTCAGCAATCGCTTCTATCGTCCACTCAAAACTCCTGAAAACTCCAGCCTCCCTCGTGCCTTTCGGGTGCTGTACTAGCCGAGGAATATACTTTCGGCAGTTAGCATGGACACCTATTGGCAAAGCTCTCAATCAGAGGTCTTCAAACTTGAAAGCTTTAAGACTTGTGGACTTCAACTCCCAGAACTCCTCTTCCAGTCATGTTAGCTCAGGAATTTTGGGAGTTGAAGTCCACAAGTATTAAACTTGCCAAGTTTGAAGACCCTTGCGCCTCAGTGCTTCAAAGATTCCCTCCGCTCCGAATACATGCGGCGTCTGAGTTCGATATAGGATGGCGCCTGGTTCTGTTTTTAACCTTTGAAATTCTTACCAGTTTCCCCTCCCACGGTCCTATTCAAACAGGCAATTGAGTCAGACACCTATTTTCAGGAGCGAGGCTGGGGTCCTTGCGGGGGTAAAATAGGAGCCCGGAGGCTCCACCTCTTCCTTTTCAACGCGCGACTCGTGGAATTGGTAAGGTAAGCGCGCGTTTTGGTAGGCCAGAAGTTCAGTTTTATTTTTATTTTTTTAAAAAGGTTATTCATTTCTTTTCTCTCTTCGGGACGGGGTGGGGGAGGAAAAACGGGGGGTGGGGTTTCGTCTTCGAAGATTTAACGGGGATTTGTCTTGTTTTCAGGAACTCCGGGTGGGAGCATTTACCACCAACCATGACCGAGGAAGGGTAAGTGGTGCGCGAGGCGGAGATACTTGGAATGGTGTGTCCACGAGGCCACTGGAGGGCCGGCGCGTGCTTCCGGGGCTCGCCTTGTGCCCTCGGCCCTCCAGCCTTGGTTCCGTGCACAGAGCGCTGCCTCCTGTCGGCTGGCTTGCTCCACGTGGTGGGGCCCAGGGTTTTTTCCCCCAGCGCACTCTGATTACTGCCAGGAGCATTTTTGTTCCTGTAATCGCGCAATATGTTTGTG